ATAATTCAATTAAAAGTGGGCAAAAGATCTGAATACATTTTTTTTCAAAAGAAAACACACAAATGGCCACTGGATACATGAAAAGGTGCTCTTCATAACTAATCATCAAGGAAATGAAAACTAAACTCACAATAAGACATCCATTTACACCTGTTAAAATGGCTATTATCAAAAGACAAAAGACAGCCGGGCATGTGGCACAAACCTGTAGTCCCAGCTACTCAAGAGGCTGAGGCAGGAGGATCACTTGAGCCCAGAAGTTCAAGGCCAGTCTGGGCAACACAGCGAGACCCCATCTCCTCAAAAAACAAACAAAAAAAAAGAAAACAAAAAAGAAAGAACACATGTAGGTGAGGATGTGGAGAAAAGGTAACTGTTACTGTACATGATTGGTGGTAATGTAAATTGTGTAGCCATTATGGAAGACAATTTCGAGGTTCTTTAAAAATTAAGCATAGAACTATCCAGAAATCCCACTTTTGGGTATATATCCAAAGGAAATGAGATCAGTATCTTAAAGAGATATCTGCACTCCCATGTTCATTGCAGCTTTACTTAGAATAGCCCAGATATGGAAACAATCTAAGTGTTTCAAGATAGATAAAGAAATTGTAATATATACATATATATATGTATATATATGTGATATATATATACACACACACACAATGAAATATTCAGCTTTAAAGAAGAATGAAATCAGCCTTTTCAACAATATAGATGAGCCCTGGGGACATTATGCTAAGTGAAATATGCCAGACATAGAAAAATACTGCATAATTTCACTTACACATGAATTTTTAAAAGTTGGATTCATAGAAGGAAAGAGTAGGATATTGGTTACCAGGGGCGAGGAAGGGGGAATGAGGAGATTACTGGTCAACAGGTATAAAGTTTCATTTATGACGAATGAATAAGTTCTAGGCACCTAATATACAGCATCGTGATCATAGTTAATAGTACTGCATTATATACTTGAAATCTGCTAAGAGAATAGATTTTATGTGTTCTCACCACAAAAAAGATAACTATTTGAAGTGATAGGTATGTTAATTAGCTTATGGCAGTAATCACTTGACAATGTATATCAAAACATCAGATTGTATAACTTAAATATACATAATTTTTATTAAAATAATAAATATTAGGAAAGAGTTAAAAATTATGCTTCAAGAAAGCTTTAAAGCAATACTTACTTGACTTGTAATGTTATTTAATATTAATTAATATCATGGCCATTTGCAGAAGTCATATAAAAGCTACTCTAATATATAATGTATAATCAAACTATATTCATTAAAGCACTAGCATTTTCTTCATATAGAAAAGATGTGATTATGAATTATTTTGTATTGTTTAACTATACCTATGAAGTGGGTTTCTCACAGTGAAATTATCTATGAATTGTAGAAATCTAACAATGAGGAAAGGATGTGTGTGCGCCACTGCATACAGTAGAAATTCTACTGGAGGACTACAAAGTTTAAGGTAAATTTTCTTGCTGCAAATTATCCTAATACAGGTATAGCTCATTTTACTGCACTTTGCAGATATTGTTTTTTACAAATTGGAGGTTTTGTGGCAATCCCACATTGAGCAATTCTATCAATAGCAATTCTACTGATTTTTCCAACAGTATGTGCTCACTTCATGCCTCTGTTACATTTTGGTAATTCTACCAATATTTCTAACTTTTTCTGTATTATTATATTGGTTATGGTGATCTGTGGTCAGTGATCTTTGATGTTATTGTAATTGTTTTGTAGTGTCATGAACTATACCATATAAGATGACAAACTTAATTATAAGTGTGTGTGTTCTAACTTCTCTACTGACCAGCTGTTCCCCCATCTCTTTCCTTCTCCTCAGGTCTCCTTCTTCCCTAAGACACAACAATATTGAAATTAGGTCAATTAATAATCCTACAATAGCCTCTAAATGTTCAAGTGAAAGGAAGAGTTGCATGTCTCTCACTTTAAATCAAAAGCTAGAAATGATTAAGCTTAGGGAGGAGGGCATGCCGAAAGCTGAGATAGGCCAAAAGCCAGGCCTCTTAATACCAAGGAGTTAGTCAAGTTTTGAATGCAAAGGACAAGTTCTTGAAGGAAATGAAAAGTGCTACTTCACTGAACACATGAATAATAAGAAAGTGAAACAGTTTTATTCCTGATATGGAGAAAGTTTGAGAGGTATAGATAGAAGATCAAATCAACCACGATATTTCCATAACATAAAGCCTACTCTAGAGCAAGCCCCAAATTCTCTTCAATTCTGTGAAAGCTGAGAGTGGTGAGGACAATCCAGAAGAAAAATTTGAAGCTTGTTTCACAATGTTTAAAGAAAGAAGTCACCTCTATAAAGTGCCAGGTGAGGTAGCAAGTGCTGATACAGAAGCTGCAGCAAGTTATCTGGAAAATATAGCTAAGATAATTGAGGAAGGTGGCTACAATAAACAACAGAGTTTTAATGTACACAAAATAGCCTAATATTGGAAGAGGATGCCATCAAGGACTTTCACAGGTAGAGAGAAGTCAATGACTGGCTTCAAAGCTTCAAAGGATAAGCTAACTTTCTTGTTAGCGACTAGTGCAACGGGTGACTTGAAGTTGAAGCCAATGCTCATTTAACCATTCCGAAAACCCTAGCGTCCTTAAGAATTATGCTAAATCACCTCTGTCTGTGCTCTATAAATGGAACAACAAAGCCCGGATGACAGCATATTTACTACTAAAGGGCATGGTTTATTGAATATTTTAAGCCCACTGTTAAGACCTACTGCTTAGAAAAAAAGATTCCTTTCAAAATGTGACTGCTCATTGACAATGCATCTAATCACACTCCAAAGCTTTGACAGAGATGTACAAAGAGATGAATGTTGTTTTCATGCCTGCTAACATAAGACCTATTCTGCACTCCAGGGATCTAGGGGTAATTTTGGCTTTCCTATCTTTTTACTTAAGAAATATGTTTCATAAGACTATAGCTATCATAGATAGTGATTCCTCTGATGGACCTGGGCAGAGATAAGTTGAAAACCTTCTGGAAAGAATTCACAATTCTAGATGCCATTAAGAACATGCATGATTCTTGGGAGGAGATCAAAATACCAACATTAACAGGAGTTAGGAAGAAGTTGATTCCACCCTTCATGGATGACTGAGGGGTTCAAGACCTCAGTAGAGAAAGGCACTGCAGATGTGGTAGAAACAGCAAGAGAACTAGAATTAGAAGTGGAGCCTGATGATATAACTGAATTGTTACAATCTCATGATAAAATGAACAGATGAGGAGTTGCTTCCATGGATGAGCAAAGAAAAGGTGCTTCTTGCGATAGAATCTACTGATGACAAAGATACTGAGACCATTGCTGAAATTACCATAAGGATTTAGAATATTACATAAACTTAGTTCATAAAGCAGTGGCAGGGTTTGAGAGGGTTGACTCATTTTGAAAGACATTCTATAGTGGGTAATATGCTATCAGGCGGCATCACACGCTACAGAAAAAGTTTTCATGAAAGGAAGAGTCAATCAATGTGGCAAACTTCATTGTTGTCTTATTTAAAGAAATGGCCACAGCTACTCCAACCTTCAGTAGCCACAACCATGATCAGTCAGCAGCCATCGACATTGAGGCAAAACCCTTCACTAGCAAAAAGATTAAGACTCACCAAAGGCTCAGATGATTGATAGTATTTCTTAGTAATAAAGTATTTTCAAATTTAGCTATGTAGATATTTTAAACATGCTATTGCACACTTAATAGGCTATGGTATAGTATAAACATAATTTTTATATGAACTGGGAATCCAAAAAATTTGTGTGACTTGCTTTATTGTGACATTCACTATATTGTGGTAGTATGTAACCAAACCCATGATATCTTCACGGTGTATCTGTACTGATCTGGTCCCCTGGGAAATTCACTGAGAGTGACAAATCTATTCTTTGGACCCTGCTAATATATTTATAACTGTCTAGTTTAGAGATTATGAACGTCTTTTCTAATTAAATGTAGGTATATGATTCTTTCAACAGACCTTTGAAGTAGGGTAATTGTTGAAGACTCTGAAAATGGCTAATTCAGCTGCAACAGTCTTTCCCGATCCAGTAGGTGCTCCAAGTAGGACATTACAATCCGTGTGATACAGTGTATGAAATATTTGTGTCTGTACAGGGTTAAAGTGGCTGAAGTTGTACAGGGCTTCATAAGCTTTACATCCCAAAGCTGTGATTGGTAAAGGCTGAAGATCCAGTAATTCTGAAAAGACCCAACAGGATGGCTATACAATAATTGAAAAACATGCACAATACTGAATATTGTATTGTAAAGAATATAGTAATCCTTAGTTCCTTAGATGGGGAGAAAAAGTTTAACACAAATTGTCATATACCCATTACAGATCTAGCATTTCAACAAATATGTCACGCAAATAATCATACTTACCATATTCACATACTGGATGCTTTTCTGGGGGAGTGTCCTATATGAGCCAACTATAATGCTACATCCTTTTTTCCCAATCAGGAAAGTCATTTGAATAACAAGTATATGCATGTTACAGAACAAAACCTAAATCTGCCTCAATTGGCAAAAAAAATTAAAACCATTTGCAGACTTCAACACTGAAATGGTTACTAACAACAAATTACTTTTGTTCTGTTTGACACTGACCAAGCAAGAGTAGTTGAGTGAACTATTGTTGTCAATGAAAAGTAAAATGAATTTAGGGTAATTCCAGGTAGAAAATAGGGTGGGAGTTTTAAAACAAAGCTGAGTAAAAAAAAACTGCCCTGAGAAAACCTAGAAACTAGATTTAGTTGTTTCTTATTATGTGGATGGGAGGCCTAGGGAATTAGAAACATAAAATGACTTAGAGAAACAGTTATACACCCTTGAATTCGACAGACCTTATATTCTCCATAATCCAGAAAGAATCCGTTAGAAAACCAGAAGGCTGCTTTACTCTCAAGATTATTTCATGAAATAGAAATCCGGTCATTTGAAATTCAAACAAGAAGAAGAAATAATCTGTAAGGTAACATAGTAGTCTGTACCTTGAGTCACATGTTCACGGTACTGTTTCAAAATGGAAGTATGGCAAATTTTCTTCTTAAAAAATGTATTTAAAAGTCAAAAAGTTAATTTAAAAAATTATCCTTTCCCTACTGCTCTATTCAATTAATTACATAGGTAACTGAGGGCTAATGACACGCTAATGACACGCTAATGACTCTTAAATTTTCTCAAGCACTAAAAATCGAGGTCGGGCGCCGTGGCTCAAGCCTGTAATTCTAGCACTTCGGGAGGCCGAGGCGGATGGATCACCTGAGGAGTTTGAGAACAGCCTGGCCAACATGGCGAAACCCTGTCTCTACTAAAAATACAAAAATTAGCTGGGCGCGGTGGCAGGCACCTGTAATCCCAGCTACTAGGGAGGCTGAGACAGGAGAATCGCTTGAACCCGGCGGGTGCTGCTCACTTGCAGTGAGCCCAGATCGCGCCACTTCACTCCAGCCTGGGCGAAAGAGTGAAACTCCGTCTCACAAATAAAATAAAATGATTAAAAAATCGAGAAGGAAGGAGGGGAAGCATTGCAAGTTAATGCTTATAACGCTAATCAAAGCTAAGATATGTTCTTAAAAAGACTAAAAAAAAAATAAACTGTGCATATTGCATATTTACAGAGGATGTTAAATTACGATGCTTTATATTAGTGAAAGATGAAGATTTTTCTTGGCTCATTTGGGCTCAATGGTACGACTATATATTCAAAGAGACCCTGGAATCATTGAGGTTACTTTGTGTATGTCTAATATCAACTGAGATGTTATGGTAGTACATTTATTGTTTTTAAAAATGTAGTCAGAACTCAGCTAATTATATGAATAGGGTGATACGTTCTTGGTCATTTGGCAGGCAAAAGATTAAATGAACATTGAAAGATAATGCTAACGCATATTAAGATCAAGTGCTGTGCTCAAAGATTAATGATGTTTGAAGATTATATTTTACATTAAAGCACCAAACATTTTTTATATATTTTATTCTGAGATCCTGAATATTACATGTAAGCACATTTGATGAAAGAAGACTAGAAAGATCCCCTTCAATGAGCAGATCACTAGATACTACAATCTCATTATTTTTCTATGTTGACAAGCCTGTTAGTTCTGTTCTGCCAAGATATCAAAGTGGAATTAAGCTGTAGTATAAAGTATCTCTCTTTAAAATAAGCTAAGATAATTAATAAGGTACACATATGACAAAAATGGCAAAGTTTAAAGTCACGTTAAGACCTGTTTCAATTCCCAAAGGACTGCCAAATAATGAGTTCATTAAAAGTAGTGAGGACTATATTTTATTCTGAAAATGACAAAGGGTTTCTCTTTGGAAGAATCATATGAGAAAAAATACGGACTTTCATTTTTCTATAAATTAAGGCCCTCTTAAAATCAATACTCGTCAATTATGAATTCTGAAAAAGAAACTTATTATACTAGTTAATTAACAGATTAGTTTAGGATTTTTTGAAATAGAGTATTTCACAGGGCACTTAAAAGTATCATTGTAAACATTTATTCCTGAAAATCTGCTTCTGTATTAAGTCAAAATCAAAAGGTATTTGTTCATGTCATCAAAATTTAAAATGGATTTTTACAAGGTATGACAGTGAAAAACACTCTTATATGATGTTGAAGATTACCATGTACCCCTTTATAATGTTAGGGCAGAGGGATAAAACTAACATAAAGGGTATATGTTATTTGCAGGACACAAACTCACTTGAGGTATATGGAAATCCACTCCATAGTGATACCATAATATGATTCCTTAATATTAGCTTTTTTGTTTTTAGTGTAGAAACACAAAAGATGGGGGAAAATTCCCCATAACTCACTGGTATGTTAGTTAATTTAACATACTAGAAATAAGTTTAAGTAAACTGGAATAAATGCAAGGGAGAAAATAAAAGTTTTACAGAGAGCATAGATTAAATGATTAATAACAAATGAAATAAAAAGGGAGTTACAGAGAAGTTATAATGATTATAAGTAAAACTTTATAAGGCGCAGACATTTTTCAACATTAATTAAACAACCATTTTGGAAAAATCAGTGATTCAAATCAGCATTCACCATGTTACCTGTATGAGGAGGATGTCTCTCTGGTAGAATTAGATGCTGAAAGTTGATAATACATACTGCCTCAGCACCCAACCATCTATCAGACACTGCTCGGATGTAGTATTGGGAAGGCAAAGGCTCAAAAATAGGGATTGTAAACACCAGTAGTTGAGCTTCTTTGCTAATGACCTAATATGAAATAAAGTCAAAAATAAATAAGGATATTCTAATAGCATAAAGCCCTTATTAGTCTACTGTTAAGATAGTGGTATCTCTACAAGATATACTAAAGACAAAGTATCTTGAATTTCTAAATAGCTGAAATATTCAGAAACTTTAGAAACTTGTGCATGGTGCCCTTCTGAGGATACTGGATAGAAGGTAAAATTTTATGCCCAATTTATATTATTTATATATGCATATCATCATGTATTAACAAGTTACCAATTTGACTACCTGAATTTCCCAAACATCATTCATTCAATTACATAACTTCATGATTTTTACCATACTGAATTACCATATTATTTACTTAATATTTTTCGTTAAGTTCTATCAGTACCTAAAGTGGAATACTGGAATCACTTGGTACAAATAGAAGGTAACCAAGAAGACAAAAGCAATGAATACAAAACACTGCTCTGAAATTCTACTGTTGCCTACCCAAGACTCTTACCTGAAACTTGCTTTCTCTTTGATAAAAACAGAAATTACAAATGAGTTAAATCAGTTAAAGAAATACCATCAAATTGAGTCTTTGTCTTGTGATTTATAAAGAAATTTAGAAGAAACACTCTTTTAATTCAATACTATTCAGTATTTTGTGCATGTGACCCTTAAGATTATTATTTATCCTGCCTATTTTCATATTCCACACCTCTGGAACCCATGGATTAAACCATGGTAAAGATTATCCAGTAACGTATTGCTTAATGACAGGAATAATTCTGAAAAATGTGTCATTAGGCAATTTTGTCTTAAGAACGTCACAGTGTATGCAGACCAGCCAGATGGTATAGCCTCTTAAACATCTAAGCTATATGGCATAGCCTATTGCTCTCATACAGCATGTGACCATGCAGCATGTTACTGTATTGAATATTTTAGGCAATTATATAACACAATGGTACGTAGCTATCTAAACAAATTTAAACCTAGAAAAAGTAGGTGAAAATACAGTATTATAATCTTAAGGGACCATTATTGTACTGTTGTTGTGTATGTGGTCCGTTGTTCACTGAAATGTCACTATGTGGGACATGACTGGTAACTGAATTTCTTAAACCATGATCACATTGAATATACCAGTACTATAACATTTAATCACTGTATTCTTTTAAAACTAACAGAAAACTAAAACATAAAATCAAGTTTTAATTGTACTATAAAATTACAGAGAAATAAAAGCAGAAACTGTTAGTATAAATTTTTTTACAATGGCAAAATAATAAGGATATATTCACATATATATACTTACTTGTTTTTTTAGAGCTAGAAAATACTCTGAATGATAAATATGATCATTTGTAGGATCTTCTACCCAAATCCACCAAGGTTCTCCCACTGTCCCATGTACCTAGAAGAAAAATAGTATATCATAACTCAAGTAAGGGATAGCATCCAATCTTCTCACTCTAGAAGCTTTATTGATACATAATTTATATTACAAAGTTTACTCATTTAAATATTTACAGTATACAGTTAAATAATTTTAAAATATTTCCAAAGTTGTACAACCATCACCATAATCTAGTTTTAGAACATTTTTACCACCTCAAAAAGAAACCTTGTACCCATTAGTAGTCACTACCTTTTCCTTACAGATTTGCCTATTCTGTAAATTTCAATTAAATAAAATCATATAATATGCAGTCTTTTGTGACTGGATTTTTTAATTTACCATGATGGTTTCACAGTTCATCTAAGTTTTAGCATGCATCAATGCTTTCATTCCTTTTTATTGTCTAATAATATTCCATTGGATAGATATACTGTATTTTGTTTTATCCATTTCAATGTCTTTCTCTCTCTCTTACTCTCTCTCTCACTCGCTCTTCTTTGCGAAACTCAGTCTTGTTCAGCATGCATCTCTCCCTCATGTGACTCAAGAAAAAGTGACCACATCCTCTGGGATAATTTTGATTGGCAGAAGTCAATCAGCTCATGGGATTCCCCTCACAACTGCTGTGGTAAGGCAGAGGCACATGACAAATACTGGCCCAATTAGACAGAAGAAAAGGTCTATGGTCCATGCTCTGGGCTGGAGAAGTGGGGATGTGTTTCCCATGCTCTGTTTAATGCAAACAGTAAATCAGGAAAACATTTGAGAAGTATCCACAAGTGTCAGCAGAGCAAATGGGTGAAAAGTTCCTGGTCCTTGAATGACATCTTTAAACAGAAGACTCAACCATCATTAGGGCCTATTCTACCTGTGGACCT